AGGGGGCACACTTAGGGGTGTAGTAGTGTAGAAAAATAATTCAAAACCAAATAATTCATCCAGAAGAAAACGAGTTTGGATTTTTCCTTTTAGGTTTAAACGGTTCAGTTAACCGAATAAAGATAACTGATTCAGGTCGATTTTCAGATGACTTTTTACTAATTCATCGAGGTGTATAATTTTTATATTTTATATTTCGAACAAAAATATCAATGTGTGCTGCAAATGGACTAATTAACAATCAGGATATCAAGTTGGGGACCCTTGCCTTGTTCTTGTTAGGGGTCTTGTCTTATCCTTGTTGGGTGCACAATAGAAAAATTTACTAAACAAATTTGTTATAGCCTTTTTTTTTAAATTGGTGGGTTTGTTGGGGGCCTAGGACCCCTACCACTATGTATTGAATCCGCCAGTGAGGGTGACATATCAAAGAGATGTGTATCATGGGATAATGATGGCAATTGCGGAATCTGTGTTTTGATCATAACTTTTGTTGTCACATCCATGAGATGTAATGATTCAGAGTTATCATTTCTTTGTGATGCGAAGACTTGGAATTATTACTCTTATTGATATGATAACAATGACGTTGTACAGATGAGAAAAATGACTTATAGGCAGAGGCTTTAATTGCATGTTTTTCGAATAAACAATGTTTTTGAGGTATTGGTTATTACTTTTTAAACTGTTCAAAAGAGTAAAGATTTGATAATAAAAAAACCAGAGGGTTTTTGGTTATCATTAAAATCCATTTTCTTTTAAGTTCAAATAGAATTCTTATTTTTAAGCTTTATTCAATAACCAAGAGCTCTAGTTGATCGTATTTCTTTGTAAGATTTAAAAGTTGAGATTAGGAGCTATGATCCTTATGAGCCATTAAAGCTTTGGGTATTTCGTACCAAATGATATGAGAACCTGAGTGGTTATATTCCATGTGTGGTAAGAATGACTTTATAACTCACATTTTGTTTGTGATATTTGAGTTATAATTTATAAAAAAATGTTAGATATTCGTAAAATTTATATGATTTTATAACAGGTTTTGGTGATTTTCACCTTATAATTGCAAAGAAAGGGGATTTCTCACTAGACCTCAAAGTCTAACCCCCATTTTGTGTTTAAAAATGTGCATTGCAGGTTAGGCTTTACCAAGGGATAAGGAGAAGGGGAAATGTGAAAATTTCTTGTTATGCTTGCTTGATTTATGAAGAGCAGCATGTTATCTGTTGAATTTTTGGAATACTTGTTTTTATGCAAGTTATGTACAAGAATGTGATGAAAAAATTTTGGTTGTCAATTATATAATATAGTTTCTTGTACTGTTGGGACCAAATATGTATTAATTGTATTTTTGAATATATGAAATATATGGTTATATGCAAATGTGGAACCTAGGGCATTACAGATGAAGTCTCAGATTGTTCATCTTTTACTTCCTTGATGTCGGCCATAAGACAGAGATAGGTCATGTCTTTCTCATCTATAGACAGCGGGTGAATCAGCTTAATCATGTTCTTCAGCGATGAGTCCCTTGCCTTTACGCTAGTAATTTTTCATCTTCTTGTACTTCTCCTTCAACTTCAGATATTTATTATCTTTTGGTTTGGAGAAGGATGAAGTAGAAGATGGATTCGTAGCTCTTTTAGACCTGCATTCACTTGCATAGTGTCATTTGCGTTCACAGTTATAGCATATATCATTGAAGCCTTGTCAATCCGAGTTAGTTAGAATAGGAGATCTACGGAAATTGTTTTTTCTAGCAAATCTTCTAAACAAGTTAGTAAGAAGAGCCAGTGACTCATTAAACTCTGGAAGATCAGCGTCTGCTAAGTCCTCAAAGTTAGAGGGATCTAACTCAGTGATTGTGAGAGGAGGAGTAGGAGTCTCAGATAACAAAGCTACAGGAGAGTTTTTTGACTCCTTTGAATCTCTTATGAGATTCTTCTTCAGCTGGTGAGATAGCTCATGATTGAGCAAAATCCCATATAGAGTATTGAGAAAGAGAGAGGACATGCTTTTTGACAGACATGCTTTTTGACATTTTAAGACATGGTATAACAGTCTCATGATTTTGACAAACATTCTAAGAATTTTGTCAGTGTATCAGAGTTGAAATATTCTTTTCCAAAGGTCCTGAGGTCTATGAGTAGGCAATTAAAGCGTTATGTACTTCAGACAAAGATTCAGTTTTGCCACAAATAGAACTTTCATATTGTCTTACCAGTTTTATCTTTCTTGTTTCTTGTACCTCAATGGTACCTTCATATTAAACACACAAAGTGTCTCACATGGATTTAGAGGTTTTCAGTTTCATCACAGAATAAGGGATCTTAGGATCCACACCCTCTAATAATAAGGACATTCGAATTTTCCAAAGACTTTTAAAGACTGAATTGTCTCTCTAAATCTAGGAGGTTTGACAAGAGAGTCATTATCGTGAAAGTTTGTGTTTATGTTTTGCAAAGCCATTGAAATAATGGTTAGTAGATTGTCGTTGAAAAAGGGATAATAAACACTATTCTGATACCACTTGTTGGTTCCAAAAGAATCTACAAAAGTTTTAAAGATAACAGTTTGTAGAAGGGGGGGTGATGAATACAAACTCACAATTTTCACTTTTTAAATTCGTTTATTGGTAATAAAAAAAAGATCAATATGAAATTTACGAATTGTTACGGAAAAAAATAAGGTTAAGAACTCATTTTATCAATCTTAGAAACACACAATTTGTACAGAAAATAAGAACAAGAGAGAAGAGAGTTAGAGAAGAAGGTGTTTGCAGTCTTCCACAATCACTCAGAAGGTTTGGATCAATAGAACCACCAAAACATCAATTTCTGACTAAATTATTTTAAGTTTGAAGTTGTACTTTCAAAACCCATCTCCATACATTTTCTCCACATAATTCAACTTGTGTAATTCCAACTATATAAATACAAAAGATAATTTTATGAACCCTAGAATAGACTATTTAACTATAAATCAATCTCTCTTACTGAAAACAATTAAAACATGAGTATAAAAGCATTTGAAAATTAATTAATTTAAACATAAGATAATCAAAATTAAACTTATTTTCAAAAAATTGTATAAAAATTTACAACGAGAAATAGAACAAAATTAATAGATATATTTTATAACAACTAATTTATATTTTTTTAACTTATATTTTTATAGATTTATAAAAAAAATTAATAATGAGTACTTGTTCGAACATTTAATTTTTATAAGAACCTATGACTAACAAGAAACTGTAAATATTCTTATAAGAACTCCAAAAGAAACCATGCCCAGTTGAAACAGAAAAGATTCCCATGTAAATAAATCACGTGGAAAATGGCCTCACTTTATGAATATTAAAAGCAGTGAGCGAATAAGATGCCAAATTTTGAGAACATGAAATACACCAATCTGCATATTTCATATTAATAAAGCTCCTCCAATTATAACTTCTTTTTTTCTTTTTCAGATGAATGAATAAGCCTTTTTTCCAGAATACCAAAAACCAATGTACAAATTTCATTGCATGATGTACACACATCAGGGAATTATAAAAATGATTGATGAGTTGTGTAGAGGGTGTTAAATGATAGACAGAAGAATGAATTTTGTGGGTGGGTAATCCAATACCTATACCCTTAACCAATTGAACAGATCTTGATTGATTGCAGTTAATATGGTGCATGAAAACCACCACCCGATGTCCTCGAGGATCCTATAGCCTGCACCAACATACAATTTCCACTTTCAACAACAAATACTCATGAATTAATCAACACCAACACTTGATTTTACTAACTCATCCTATTTATTTTGACCACAGGTTAGATTGCAAAAAGAAAATGATGGATATATATATATGCTCTGCAATCCTGATGTGGACATAAGAAACATGAGAAAAAGAAGAGGGCCAACAGCCTATAAATTTGCATACAGAAACATATTGCTTCATGCCAAAACATAACCTCTGTCGAAGCAAGTGATGGTAGGGGTAGACACCACCCTCTGGAGCGCCCCTACCACACCACCGGTCCCATAGCCATCATGGGTAGGTGAATCACTGCAAGTCCAGAATAAGTGGTGGTGCCCAGGCTAGGCATTCTAATCCTATGATTAAGGATCCCAAAAGTAAATGCAATGTCTGAAAGGATACATAGTTTAATGGGAGTGTTTGATCATTAGTCAAATACTTCAATATGGGACATTTGGTTTGATGGAATGGTTTTGAGGGATTCGGATTTTGTGGAAGGATTTAGAATAGGAGGGATTTGAATTTGGAAGGATTTGGAACCTTTGGTGTGTTTGCTTTGTTGAATTTGGAAGGGAATTGAATTACATTCTTCATAAAAATAAAAAGAGGGACAATTTAATGGATTTAGAACAGAATTAAATGATCTTTTTATTAATCGATTATTACAAAGCAAATGTTAGTAACATATTTTAAAACATTATTACATACAAATTCTACGAAATCCCGTGAAACACCAACCACCCCCATAGGATTTTAAAATGTTGTGTTTGTGGGATTTCAATTAAATCCCGGGATTTCAAATCCAATAAATCCTTCAAACTAAACATGGGCTTGGAATGAAATTCAATCCAAATCCAAATCCAATTCAATCCTATAGACCAAACGAGACCTTAAACCTTGACAAACAGCGAAAACTTGGTGCACCGAACCAAACTCCCAAAATTTTGTAATGACTACATATAGGCAAAAATGAGTGTAACTTCACCAAAAAAGGAAAATGTAAGCATCTATCTTGGGAGTAGGAACATTCCCAAAAAAAGATAGTTGCACTTTTGAGGGCGGAGGCATGTTTCTTTTACAGAAGAACAAACCTATTTATGTTCTTTACAACTAGATATACAATGTAATATGTAAATTTGCAAGCCACTGTGATAAATTTAAATCATAGCAGATGATTCAAGAGAAGAATTGCATACGATATCTTCAAATGAACTTCAACTATTTATCAGACCAAGTTAAAGTGACTCACCTCTCTGCATGCATATGGAGATAAGCTGGCATCAGACCCAATGCTTGATCTGTTAGTGCAAGGGTGGAGTTGTGCAAATCCCAATCTTGAATCAAAGGCCATACCAGAGCCGCTATGTTCAGCTTGCAATGACACATCAACAGCCGGCAAACTTGAATCCTGTACCTGTACACCAAATTGATCAACTCTTGGAGAGAGAAGATTGATGTCATGCATTGAAGACATAACATGATCCTCCCTTCCATTAAATGATGCATGAGGGTGGACATTCCTTTGAGGAGTTGAATCCCTAGCTTGATCAAGTTGAGAGCCAAATAATCTAATTCCTGAAGAAGATGGTGGTGTTCTGCTAGATCTAGCAACTAAATCACTCATTCTATTATTAGTTAGCAACCGATGATGCATCTGACGATGTATTCTGCGTCTATCCCTTAGTGTAGTAGCTACAGTTCCAGCAGGAGCAGGCATAAAATCACCACCAGGGAGTCTAGGTTCAGGGAGAACGCGAGATTGTTGTGTCAAGGGCGTTTCAGGTACATACAACTCATTAAGATCAAAACCTCCAGCAGTTGGGGATGGTAGATCTGATGCAATGCCACTTGATCTTCGATCTGAAGTGGGAGTTGGACGTTGAGAACTTAGGGAACCAAAAACAGTAGGTCTGCATCCTTCGCAATACCAATTTCCTTCAGGAACTTCCCGTCCAAGACCAACACAAAAGGTGTGTGCAGGTGAATCGCATATATCACATAGTAACATCAAAGCATCGTCCCCCCCATGGTGACATTCAGTACATATCACACTTTCATATGGATCAAGGTAACCCCTCAGCTCTTCCTCAGATGGTTGGTAAACCTGCAGAAATCACATAGCAAAGCGGTTCAGAACAATTACAAGTAATATAGAAATCGAGTATGTTCATACCGCATAGAAAGACATGGGTAAGGAAAACTTGGGTTGCTTCTTTCCTAGATTGCTCAGAAATGGTTCACACTACTAACCTGATCACACTCAGGAACAGGTACAACTACAGTCCTTAAATCAAACCCTGTGTCTGATTTTGCGGCCTTTGTTATTGTTGCAAATCTTTGCTTGCAGAGAGGGCAACGAGATTCCACCTTCGACCATTCCATGATACAAGAGAAACAGAAATAATGGCGACAACAATTTAGTACTCCTCTCACAGTTCTCTTCCCTTCTTCAGACAAACAAATTCCACAAACTTGCTTCCCTACTTCATCCTTCATATCTTCTACCTTCTCTTTACCCTTTCGTACCGGATTTTTCCTTTGTTCAAAGACTGGTTCTTCTTCATGCTTTCCACAGGAGGAGCTCCTCAACTTAGCTCTCAAATTTGCACAGTATACACTGGCTTCTCTCATCTGTTCTCTCTCTTCCTCCGAGATGGTGTATTCATGATCCAATGATGGAGAACTAACAAAATCGGAATCAGATTCTGCCGTCACTCTCTGCTTCCGTCGCCTAGGAATTTTCTTACTTCGTTTTTCGACCTGGTTTTTGTTTGTGGCAGGCCTCTCCTTAGAAGAACCTGACTTTTGGCCAACCCTTCGATTTCTTTGTTTTGGTCTTGTAGGCTTTTTAATCTTTGACTTTTTGCTCTTTTTTCGTCCTCCCCCAACACTTCTCTTTTGTGGATGGTGCCTACTTATGCTCTCATTTTTCTTCATCTTTGGACTTTCGTCGTCATAATCAACAAAATCACCCTCACTTAATACAAATTCTGCATCATTTTCATCCTCCTCTTCCTGATTGTCTTCTTTATATGAAACAGTCCTCTTTTCTCGAGTCTCCTTTGTCAGGTTTCCCTTCCTACTTGTACACATAAACTCAGAATCATCTTCATCTTCATCTGCATCTGCATCTTCATCATCATCTTCTGTATATAAAACCTTCCTCTTTTCCCGAAGCTTCTTTTCCTGGCTTACCTTCCTACCCAAATGCATAAATTCTGCATCATCATCCTCATCATCTTCTGTATCTAAAACCCTCTTCTTCTCCTGATGCTTCTTTCTTAGGTTCCTCCTTCTACCAGAAGGAACAAGTTCTTCATAGTCCTCTTCCTCCTCATCATCCAATTCTGTATATGAAATCCTCTTCTTTTCCCTAGGCTTCTTTATATGGTCAGACTTCCTATCCAAAGACATAAATTCTGCATCATCTTCATCATTAAACTCCTCATCCTCCTCTTCATCATCATCATCATCTTCAACTTCATCTTTTGTATGAAGAACTCTTCTCTTTTTCCGAGGCTTCTTTATCTCATCTCCCTTCCTACCTGAAGAAGTCCTCCGGGTGCTTCTTGATCTAACAACCCTCCTGGACTCTTCAAAATCAGCTAATATCTCTTCTGATTCATCACCATCTAAAGAATAACACTCATCTGACTCGTCACAATCTTCATCCTCAGTCACCTTGTATTCCTCATCTGACTCTTCTGAGTCCTGTCCCCTTTGTTGAATCCTTCTCAGATTACTTCCCTTGACACCAACCCTGTTTCCCTTTGCCATCTTGTCTTGCACCCCAGATAAGCACAAAGACAATTCTCACTCTGAATGAAATAAGAGTACATAGATCACAATTAGCAGAACAGTTAGCATACGAGGAAGATCTGGTACTTCTGGTAAATGCACTATACTTGGCAAGGATATCTAAATTTGAAGAATATTAGCAAAACAATCTTTGAAAAAGGTTACAACTTCATATAAACCCTTATGAAATTAGGTTTTTATATCATAATTCAAGAACAAAAAAAAACCCGAAGTCAATATCATATTATGCACGATAATTTAAAATTTAAAAGAAAAACAATAGAAAAAGTAAAACATCCCGATTAAGTCGTTCCTGATGATATCAACTATGTCAAATCAAAACCCTAGATCATCAAAATCATCCTAACAATTCAATTGAGCAATGATCATGAAACAAAAATCGATACTATTCATAATAGTTACACATCTGATATCCGTTCATCTGAAATCATCAAAGAAAAAAAAAGGAGAAATCGTGCACATAAATGATAAAAGTAAAAGGGGGGAACACAATCCACAAAAGGATAAAACACAAGTAAGCCAAAATCAGCAGATAAACTTGATAGAATTCAAGGAATTTTGAGGAACAGTTACAGAGAAAAGATTATGTCGAGAGAGAGAGAGAGAGGATTTGGTTTACCTGCAGAAGAAGAGAAGTGGAAGAAGGTGCAGCGAAGGCCGACGAAATAAGTTTACCGTTCCTTTATATAGATGCGACGCCACGCGGTAAGTGCAAACGTCATTCATTCTTTTTTATTTATTTTTGGATTAAATTACGGATTTGGTCCCTGTGGTTTGTTGACCTTTTATGGAAATCGTTACTAAGATCCTTTTATTATGGTTTTGGTGTCTTTGGAATTCATTTTCTATTGGATTTGGTCCTTTGGCCTAACGACAGTTTACAAGGTTTGTTAAAGTCGAGGGTATAAACATCTTTTTTTTTCATTTATTGAAACATTTTTAATTAACTTTTTTTAATCAAGGGTAAAATGAATATATTAAAACCTACGGAGCCAAAACATTAAAGTTACATACTATATATATATAGAGAGAGAGAGAGAGAGAGAGAGATATAAGTATGTTCATTGGTTGACATCCATTTGATGTGAGAGGAATCCAACCGATCCAATTATCCATTGGATGTTGGATTTTTGTCAACTGATCTGATTCAATTAACATTGGATAACTGATTTAATCCAATCCAATTGATGATTGGATTGGTTCGTTCCATCCATCGGATACTTTTATTGGATATCCATCGGCTATTCAATGGATGATTATACAGGATTGGATCCATCCAGTGTGTTAGTTCAATCCAATTCTCTAACAATGATACAAATTAATTAATCACTTTTAATATGTGTTAAAACCAACACAAGGGAAATTAAAGTTCAAATCTTCACATAAAACAAATTCCGATTTAAGCAATTTGAAAATAAATTAGTTGGATAATGGTTGGATGGACAATTAGATGGTCATCGGATGATTAATTGGATGGATAATTGAATGTTGATTGGTTCGATTCGGTTTTGGTTGGTTCTAGACTATCGTCCGAGAACCGACCAATCCAAATTGAATGTTGAAATTTTCAATCCGATCCGATCCAATTACAATTGGATATCCAATTATGGTCGGTTGGTTCTAATTGGATCAATTAATTTTCTACACACCCTTATACACACACACACGCGACAACAGGGGCAATAACCCATCTCACACCATTGTTCATCTGGCCGACTATCCTTATCCCTCACACCACCATCCACGTTCTCCCTCGCCTTTACACCATTATGAACCCACCTAGCTCACTGTTGCAATCACAGTACACATAAGTCACATCAATCATCTCCATTGAACTAGAGTTTACTCCGGTCATCTTCTCTAGGTCACCTCTACCAACCACCCACCAAGGCACCAACATCACCTCCCTTTCTTTTTACTCACATGCATACTTGCACACACCCTGCATATACACACACATTCTACATCGATGGGTCCGAGAGAGGGATGATCGGAGCAGTGGGGGGATTTTCGATCAAGCAGTAGGAGATAGAGACGTCAACAGGAGCAACAGGGGATAGGGATCATTGATTGAAGCAATGGTGGAGGAAGGTGCGGAGGGTCATCACAAGGATCAAAGTTGCAGGTGAAAACGAATGAGAAAGAGGATAGGGTGACATGGTTGGAGGATGGGGAGACATGGTTTTTGTAGATTGGCCAGAAGGTCAGGGGAGTTTGCAGGTTTGTCGGAGTTTTGCCGGGAGAAAAATCGACTACGGGGCAAGAAACAAAATGATTTTTGTTTGTGTTGGGCCCTCCAAGTTGTAATATATTCATTTTTCCCCTTGGTTTAAAAAGTTAATCAAAAAATGTTTTAAAAAATGGGAAATGGTAAACGACCTTTATGCCCTTGACTTTAACTGACTTGGTAGACGATCGTTAGGCCGAAGGACTAAACCCAACAGAAAATGCATATCACAAACACCAAAACCATAATAAATGAAGTCTAGGGGCAATTTCTATAAAAATCAACAAACCACATGGACCAAATCTATAATTTACACTTATTTTCTAATACCACAAAAACAATTTTATTAAATAAATACTACTTGTAGTAAAAACATAAGATCTGTGACAATTAGTACATTCAAAATATCATGTCGGATGGGTTTAGTAACATATTAAAATGAGAATATTTTTTAAATTAAATAAAGATATTGCTTTACGTTAATGTATCAATACCTTTGATTGGTTTTTCTTTAATGTTATAATTAATTAATATATTATATATATATATATATGAATAGAGTAAAATGGTTGGGGAGGGATCAAATAAAGCCATTTGTACAAACTGTATACACACTTCCATAATCCATTTTCTCTTCGGAAAATTCCCTTCTAGATAGATTTATGTTCAAGAGAGAGAATCGGTGTTCATTGAGTTTGGAACCTTGAACAGACTGCCGATGATAAGCCGGAGGAAAGTGAGGAGTTTACAAGTCGCTTTCAGATGTAATTGAAGGCAAAGAAGGAAGAGTTCGCGAGACTTTGCCAGTGAAATTGAATTCTCCGTGAAGATGTGGAGTACCAACAGTTATTTCTCATTCATCGATTTCATTGTTTAATTTAATAAAATTGTTTCATATAATTATTTTTCTAATGAAATGTTTCATATATTTTTGTTTCTGCATAAAAATGAAATTGTTTCATGTATTTATCATTTTGAAGGAATTTGTTTTATAAAATTAATATAATGAATATGATAATGTTCATAATTAACGTCTTGTACAATAAATATGATTAATCAACCCTCGTAATTAAAAAAGTAAAAAAGAAAAAAAATTATGATTGGTTGAATGAGATTTGTGCAAATAGTTTGGTTTGCATTCGATCTCTCCCCTAAATGCGTTTATCATTTGAGAACTTCACAATTTGTGAGATTCATGATTGATGAAATCCAACCTAAACCACTAATTTAAAATAATTAATGGTTTTTAGGAAAATTTTAAATTTCATATATATATATATATATATATATATATATATACATAGGGTTGAGTGCACGTGAGAACAATGTTATTTTGTGATACCCATAAGACCACAAAATAACACTAAAACTTCATAGCAAAACATTGTAAAGGTACCAAAAATCAGAACTTCATAGAAAAACACTGATGATTTACTTTCACAATATTTTACTGTGAATGTTTAATTTTATTTATATGGTCTCATGGGTCTTACTAAAATAGTTTGGTCTCACATGATCCTAAGTCAATAATATACACGAAGGATCGTGTGAGAATAAAAACTAAGATTAGAAGCATAAGACATTCTTGATTACTTTTAATCTCACTCTCACCTATGAATTGTTTTATCACTATAATTCATCCGGTACATCTCGATGCACCGCATTAATGTTGATCTTCAATTAAGACTGATCAAAGGGTGGATATATGTGTGTGTGTGTGTGGATCTTTTTTTGAGAACCCATGAAATTGTGATAACTTTCAGAATTTGTGCAATTTATTATTTCATATGATTATTTTTTCATCTAAGACTAAAATTTTATAATGTTGATTAACATATATTTTTTTCACAATGTGTTCATTTCACGTATTGTGAACCTTTTTTACCATTTGTGAAACAAAAAATACATGTAAAAAAGTTTCACATTGTGACTTTATACATATGAAACAAACACATTGTGAAATAAATATATGTTAATCAGTACATTAAATACTATATTCATATGAAAAAAATTATTGAACAAAACCTTAAGGTGGAAATTCTCATGAATCTCACAAATTTTAGAGTTCTCAAATGATTAAGCCTATATATATGGACGAATGATCGTGTGAGAATAGGAGTTAAGGTGAGAAATGTAAGAAGAGATCTGAACCCTTGACCACTTTTAATCTCACTCCCACCCTATGAATTACGTTTGATACGAGAATTGATCTGGTGCATCTAATAACTGTTGATCTTCAATTAGAATTGATCTAAGCTGGAGATCCCTTCTTACTCTGTTCACGATAATTTCTAAATATCTCATTCACTTAATTATTACATTTCTTAATTATCGCATGCACTTAATTCTATTACATATGAACTTATTTAAACTTCCTTAATTATTTCATTAACTTTATGATTTCACCTATGAACTTTCATAAAAAAAAATTGCATTAACCAAAGTTTATAACGAAACAACATTATGAACTTTAAACAAAAATCATTGTATTTTATCAATGAACTTTAAATAAAAATCATTTGTTTTACTTTATCGTTTCATCTGTAAACTTTATTGTCTGATTTGACCTATGAACTTTAAATAAAAATTATTGTTTCACCTACAAATTTTCTAGTTTTACCTCCAAACAAGAATTATTTAAATATTTAAGAAATAAAAATTATTTGAATATTATTATTGATTGTCTTCCAAAAATAAAATATGATTATCTTTCACAAATATAAAAAATTTGTTCCAAAAATGGCATTCATTTAATCACGTTTAATTTTTTTTATTAGATGATAACCTTCCATTTTAACCGTCGTTGTTAATAAAAAAAAATGAAAGGGCGGTTAACAAAGTTAAGACTATTTATTTGGTTAACAAATAATTATCCCCCTCTCTTTCTTTCTTTCTTTCTTTCTTTCTTTATATATATATATATAGACTTGTGATCATGTGAGACCAAGAGTTTTTTTTAGACCCGTAAGACTAATTCTCAACTATTGGATTGGATCTACAATCCGAACATTCATAATCACAAAATTGCCACCGTGCAACTTTAGATTATTAGATCATTAGCTTATAAAGTTGATCAATGAACATAAATTGGTCTTACCAGTCTCACGACAAACTCTTGGTCTCACGTGAACCCAACTATATATATATATATATGTATGTATATATATATATATATACCTACATACATACATATACATATATATGTATGTGTGTGTGTGTATATATATATATATATATATATACCCTCTCATGTAACATAGACACATTCATAATTGAATACATACATAAGATGAACAAATTACTAGAATAATAGTTTGATTACTAGAATAATAATGTGTTCTTTATTATTAATATACAATTTAAACATCTTCTTCGATAATGTTTCTACAATTTTTTGAAAATAAAATAATAGAAGCTATCTCTGTAAATAAGATGTAACATCTCAGGTTCTATATTTGCATAT